GAGAGAGAGAGAGAGAGAGAGAGAGAGATTATTCTTCAGAGGATCACTTTGAAATCCAAATAGTTCTCAAAAGGAACCAGAACTTAAGTGCATTTTTTCACCTAAGTTTGAGCAGAAATCCACAAACATTTCTAAGTTCCCTGTGTGATGCCAGCAGCTACCTGTCTTTGTCCTTAAGGAAATGGACACTCTTTCTAATTGTGTGATTGATCTGGTGGAAGGCTGAGCTGCCTTTCATGGTAGTGAGTGTTCTGCCTGCCCAGGTTGCACCCTAATCCATGCCAGGAATAATCTAAAGGGGACTCTGCCTGAAGGGAAAGGAAGGAAGATTGTCTCTGTCATATACTTTATCTACATAACTCATTTGATTCTCATGTCCCTAAAAGCAGATACCTTGAGAACATTCTTTCTTCCCCTCTTCTTTCCTTCCTTCCTTCCTTCCATCCATCCTTCCTTCCTTCCTTCCTTCCTTCTTCTTCTCCTCCTCCTCCTCCTCCTCCTTCTTCTTCTTATTTTTATTTTATTTTTGCAGTACTGGGGATTGAACTCTGTGGGGGCTTTACCACTGAGCTACATTCCTAGTACTTCAAATTTTTCATTTTGAGAGAGGGTCTTGGTAAATTGTGGAGGCTGACTTCAAACTTGTGATTCTCTTGCCTCAGCCTCCTGCATTGTTGGGACTATAGGTGTGTCCCACCATACCTGGTTCTATTTCATTGATTCTAAGACACATATCATTCCATCCCCTCCAATCCAACATTTTTGAGATTGGGTCCCAGATCATAATTGATGCCATATTAAAGTTGCTATCAGCCAGGTGGCAGTCTCAACCTGATGATGGGAAAACTCCCCATGGAGGCCGTCTGGTGAGATCAATAAAACCTCATTGACTCAGGCAGATGCAGCTTCTCTTGTTAGAAGAGGCAGCCAGGGCCCTGGAAGATGAAGGACCTCAGCTGCCTGACATTTGGGCCATGCCACTTTAGGTACTAAACTGCTGCTTTTAACCACTGGCCCCTGGATGAGCTGCACCAGAATCATCTGTGGGGCTTTAAAAAATAATCAGATCATAGGGTCTCTTATAGAAATAACAATGCTAAAGGTAGGGATGGGGCCTGGGAGTCCAATTGGTTTAACTTTCTCAGGGGATTCTAGTTGATGGCCTGTCTATGAACTACTAAAATTGATGGCTGTTCAGTCTCAGAGCTAAGATGCTGAGGTTTCAGCTCAGTGGTTTTGATCCTGAAAGTGTTTGAGAGCCTGGGCTCCACTTCACCGTAAGCCTATGTGGGGAGTCAGTGAGGCAGGCAACAGTGGTCAGGCCATGACCCTAACCAGGCCTCTGCTTCTCTCCACCTCACTTGAAGGTTTCACAGTGCCACTCCAGCTGGAAAAGCTTGACTCTGTAGAAGAGGGAGGCTCTGTGGTCTCTGGCCCACCTCCCCTCAGTGACTGGGGGTAAGGGTTCTTTGACCTCTGTTTCCTTTCCCCAGGGAAGGGCGATCTGATTGGCTGTGAGCTGCCCCGGCGGGAGCAGGTGGTAAAGGCCAATGCCGACGTGAAGGGGCTGACCTACTGCGTCCTGCAGTGCCTGCAGCTGGCTGGCCTGCACGATAGTCTTGCACTGTACCCTGAATTTGCCCCACGCTTCAGCCGTGGTCTCCGAGGGGAGCTCAGCTACAACCTGGGTTCTGGGGGAGGCCCTGCAGAGGTGAGGGTACTGGGTTACGTGCATGGAGGGGCTGGGGAAGGCATGGCCCATTGTGAAAGTCTGTCCTTTCACATCCACATAATCTTTTAGAAGTCAGCAATCAAGCCCAGCCACCCCTGTGTCCCTGCTTGGCCCATCTGAGACAGCTCGTCCCTGTCCAGAGCAAAGTCAGGTTAAGGAGGGCACTGGTAACAAATGAGCCTCATTGGCTAATGGAGGGGTTGTCAGGCACCTGGGCAGGGGATAGGCACAATCCTCCAGGCTGCTTCTGGAGAGCACTGTGGCTTTCTCTGCTTTTTCATGGCAAAACAGGATTGTTCTGAGGGCTTTTGAATTTCCCTGGATAATATCACTAGTTCTAAACCAGTTTTGAGTACTGTAGTCTCTCGGATAGTTCTATTAGCTTGAGGGGTGGTGTATTCACATTTGGGTGGAATTTTGAGGGGCAGCTAATGCCTCAAGGGCTTGGTAGCTTTATGATGGCAGTAGAAAAACAAGTCACCCCTCCTCATGGGGCCTCTTCCTTTGCAGAGTGGAAGACACTGGGTATTCTTTTTAATAAAGATGGCTCATCCATTCTAGGGGAGATAATCTCTTGGCAGGAGAGATGAATGGGACACAACAGTTGCCATGCATGTCTATTTCCTGTCCCCAGGTAGATACCAGCTCCTTGAGTGGTGACAACACCCTCATGTCTACATTGGAGGAGAAAGAGACAGATGGGGAACAGGGCCCCACAGCCTCACCGGCCACAGCAGATGAGCCCTCCAGCCCTCTGCTGTCCCCTGGCTGCACCTCCTCATCCTCGGCTGCCAAACTGCTATCCCCTCGTCGAACTGCGCCCCGGCCACGTCTAGGTGGCAGGGGGCGACCGAGCAGGGCAAGGGCTTTGAAGGCTGAGGCTGGTGCTTCTGCTCACCCACGGACTCTGGAGGGACTGCGGCTGCCCCCCATGCCATGGAATGTGCCCCCAGACCTTAGCCCCAGGTAAACAAGGCCTTGGGTCCCATGGCAGGGTGAGAGTGGTAAGAGAGAGGTCCCAGCCAGGCATACCCACACCCTGAGCGCCCATCCTTGCATCTTCACTTCTCCCTGCCTGCGTGGTCCAAGCTTGCCCCTTCTGGGAAGACTTTCTTGACTCCTCTGTCTTCACTTGTTAGTGTATGTCACACCCTGCTCTAAGTCTGAACCCTTGTTTCATATTGCTCAAATTGTCTCCCCTGCTCAAAGGCAAGCTTGTAGGGGAAGGGATGGTGTGTTAGCTTTTTCTTGGAACCTCAAGGGTCCCCTGTCCAGCTCCACGCTGCTGCAGTCTCTGTATATAGGCACTGGAGCATCCTGTGCCTTGTAACACAATAGTGGTCACCTGTCAACTGTTTGTTGATTTGTTGGGTCCACAGGGTTGTAGATGGCATTGAGGATGGTTGTGGCTCTGACCAGCACAAGTTCTCTTTCCGCGTGGGTCAATCTGGCCTGGAATGTAGCAGCAGCCCCTCACCTGGACCAGGTACTAGGACCAGGGACAGAGTATGTTGGTGGGGTGACCCCTTTTCCTTGTGGAACAGCACTGTTAGAGAAACTGGCCAGGGGCAGACTCTGCCCAGAAGCCCTCTTGCCATTACCTACCTCTGCGCCACTGGGCAGGGAGTTTGGTTGTGAAGACCAATCTGGGCCCTGGGTTTGGATTCCTATTCTGTCAGTTTTCTAGCAGTGTGAACTTGGCTTCTCTGGCTTCAGTTTCTTGTTTATAAAATGGATGTGCATTTTAAATAAGATACTATAACTAAACCCTTAGCTCGATGCCTCGTTCACTGGGAGGATAAAGAGATAGGGAACCAGGATTGTTAGTGGTTCTAGGCCAGGTGAAGCAGCTCTGGGAAGTGAACAAAGTAGAGAGGTCTCAGGAATGTCCATTTCCCTAAAGAACAGAATAAGGGACAGTCACAAAGAACAACTTCCTGAGGGGAGAAGGGTACAGGGCAATGTGACCCAGGTCTGTTGGAAAGGGTTTTCCTGCCCTTGGCAGTTTAGGTAAAATTCAGTTCCTTGGGCAAGGCAGAAGTAGTTATTCTTGAGTGAGGTCTAACCAGGTGTGTTCTAGGGGGGACAAAAACCTGGACACTGTGCTGATTCTCATTAACCCCAATCCTATCCACAGAGAGTGGCCTGCTCACTGTCCCCCTTGGGCCCAGCGAGGCAAGGAATACGGATACACTGGATAAGCTGCGGCAGGCGGTGGGTGAGGGACAAGGTGGGGACAGGGAGGGGAAGGGGCAGGCACTATACTACTTGATACCCGATGTTGCTGACCTCACCTTCTCCTGCCCCTGAAGGTGATGGAGCTATCTGAGCAGGTACTACAGATGCGGGAGGGACTGCAGTCACTTCGCCAGGCTGTGCAGCTTGTCTTGGTACCCCATGGGGAGGGCCCATGCCCTAGGGCATCAGGAGAGGGGCCTTGCAGAGGTACAGTCAGTGCCTCTGGGCTCCTGCAGCCTCTTCGTGTGGACACTGGGACATCCTCCTACCTACAGCCCCCAGTTGGCTCTGTCTTAAGTGGAACCTGGCCCCACCCTCGTCCAGGGCCCCCTCCCCTCATGGCACCCTGGCCCTGGGGGCCCCCAGCATCTCAAAGCTCCCCCTGGCCTCGAGCCACAACTTTGTGGACCTCCACCTCAGACTCAGAGCCCCCTGGCTCAGGAGAACTCTGCTCTGAGCCTAGCACCCCAGCTTCTCCTCCTCCTGAGGAAGGGGCTGGGACTGGGCTCCCAGAGCCTGTGAGCCAGGCAGAGACTACCAGCACTGGAGAGCCCCCACCAGGATCAGGGAGCAGGGCCTTGCCCTGGGACCCCCACAGCCTAGAGATGGTGCTTATTGGCTGTCACGGCCCTGGCACAGTCCAGTGGACCCAGGAAGAAGGGACGGGGGTTTGACTGCCAGCCCAAGGTCAGTGCTACAGACATGCCAACCTCTGCTGCTCTGCCCAATCTCAGGACTCCATGCTGCCCGCTGGCTCAGGGCAGGGAACTAGAGACATAAAGGGGATTTGGCTCCCTGACTCTTAGGAGTGGGCTGGAGCCTCAAAAGCAAACCCCAGAGCTGAGAATCTGCAGGTCCCTACTCCTGGAGCCCCTCTATAGCCTGCTCTGTTGTTGACCTTGTCGCCTTCTGCGGGCTGAGGGCAGAGGCCTGAGGACAAGGAGAGATTCCGCCCTCTCTTGCATGTGCCCCATCTCTACCTGTCCTTACATTTTTTATATTAAAAAAGCGTAATAAAAAAAGAAACTACTTTGGAATTTGGTGCTTTTTATTTACAAAAGAAAAACAATAAAGAAATCTGAAGCTAATCCTCTGGAGACACAAGATTGAAGGTGGCAATCAGGGGAGAGGGAGGGTGGTCTGCAGAGAAGACGGGGAGGGGCTCTGGCTCTAGGGAAGCACAAGGGTCCCAGCCTCTCCTGGCTTCCCAATGGCCAGCCCCACCTTCCTCAAAGACTCAAATCAATGGGCCAGCAGTTGGGTCTCCTGTTCCCCACGTGGGCAGGTTTTTCCAGGAGCCTGAGTTCCCAGCTTAAGGGGGCTGGAATAACAGCAAACTGAGGCCAGAGAGAACCCAGGGCTCTTGGTACCCTGTCCTCTTCACTGTGGTGTGATCTTGGCAGCCTCTGCCCTGATAAGGGCAATGAGGTCCTGGTTGATGAGGAAGACAAATCGCAGGCTGGCAATCTGGTGGGGAGAGGACAGTGGTGGGAAGAACCAGGCCCATGTATGAGCTCACCAAGCCCCCACCTCATCCTGGCCTCTCTACCTCCCTCATCTCACCTCCACCACAGAGTTGTTGCTGAGGCGCCATTTGGAGCCACACAGTACAGGCCGTCCATCAATGTAAATGGGCCGTCGGCCCTCATTGGCAATGAAGAAATCACCATTGTTCTTCAACTTGATAACACCTGTGGAAGTAGTGAAGCAATGGGAGAATGGGATGGGCCAGAAGAGAGCCAGGAGCCTCCAACCACCATCTCTGCTTCTTGGAGATGGGGTATTAAGGTACGTAGGACTCCCGAGTTAGAGACCTTGAAATGCTGGCTCCTTCAGCCTGCCTCAGCTGGTCCACAAGGATATTAAGACTCAGGGCTGGAAAGGGCAATGAAAGACTGGGGGGAACATTCCACACTGCTTCCCATCGAGGCAGCAGTATGTGGAGGGTACCTTGCTTTCGGGAGATCTTCCAAGCTGGACCCTCCAGAGACAGGTCCACATCAATCTGGTTATCCTTGGTTGCTCTGCCCAGGGTGATCTGGAGAAATGAGATAGGTGAGGGTTGGGCCCTGAGGAATGGGGGATGGAGTCCACACAAGCCAAGGAAGATGAGAAAAAGAAAAAGGGCAGTGACAGAGGAGGGATGCTTAGGAGGGTGAGGATGGGGAAGGCCTATCTCACCTCACGTGAGCGCATAAGATACCGCACCATGCGGCCCCGTAGCACTGCCAATGTCTGGTTGTCAAAGTCTGGAGAGCTCATCCCTGGAGGAAGAACAGGATTAGGAAGGGCCCATCCAAGTGCAGAGTGGAAAGCAGGGAACAAGGGCAAGATCTATGAGTGACAGGAGTCAAGGCCTGGGAAAGCAGGGCATATCCAGCTAGGCAATAGGAGGGGCTCAAAGGGGATAAAGGACGCCCAAAAGGGAGCCCCTGGTCCCCTGGCCTCCTCACCTGTGATGCTGTCCACTAGCACCTGCCACTTATGCAATTCCTGTTCCAGCTGTCTTATCTCTCGCTTCTGGCGCCGGTCAGCCACTGTGAGCTCTGAGGTAAGGTGGGGTGGTAAGGACACTTTGAGGCCATAGTACTTTGTACAGGTCTTCTCTTATTTCAGTCAAGAGCTTCTATCCCTTCCCTGTTTCCACCAGAGTACACTTACCATGTTCCAGGACTTCATCTCGCATGTCCCTGAAGGGTGAGAGAAGAATGAATCAAGTCCACTTTCAGCTCACTTGCTACTTGGCTCATCAGGGCAATCCTGACACCTTTGGCCAAGTGGCCCAGAAGGCTGTTTATCCAGCTTTGGCCCAGCCTCTTTCCCTGGGATTAGGGTGGGGGATAAGGGAAAGGAAGAGAGCCTAAAAGCCCCTCCCCACTCCCCACAGGAGTGGGTGCAGCAGGGAGGCCAAGCACAACAGCTGCAGCTGGAGCCTGGGGGCTAAGTTGGGCTGGGCAGCATGGGGTGCTCTACCTATGGGTGACTTAGCTCTCTCCAGCCCTGCCTGAGGCCCCAGTTACTCACTTGAGCTTACTGTCATCAATCAGGTCTTCTGCATCAGAGAAGTTCAGCACTTGGTCCCCTTTTGGAAGCGGCTGCACTGAACAAATGACAGAGGAAGAGTGAGCACCAAGACCCCTACTCCTAGTGCATTCCTAACGAGGCCCCATTCTAATTTAACTCATGGGCAGAGATGGTTCTAGATTGGGAGGAAATCAAAGCTGACCTTTTCCATGGGCTTTTGGGTATGGGTGTGTGAACGGATCTCAGTTACAAAGCCTTGAACTAAGCAGAGAAAACACTACTTAGCTCTATTTTCAAATAAGGAAACAGATACAAATGACAGTTTACACTATTTGACCCTATTGTGGGGCACAGCCAGAATTCAAGTCTCTCCAGATTCCAAATCTAAACTGCTCCTTCCCAATACATCACACACTCCCCAGCTTTCCTGCCTTGCTGTTGGAGGGCTAAGAGGCATATGAGGCCAAAAAGGAGCTGCCCCATGTCCAGCCAGTATCTAATTTAGTCTGTGGGTCATGACTGATCATGGGTCATGAAATTAGTTTCATTTGTTTTCAAAGAATGAAATGGAATAGGAAAATATCAGAGCCCATCCAATATGTTCATTAAATGTTTTCTACTTTTTTTTTTTTTTTCCTTTGGTATGGTGCTGAAGATTGAACCCAGGGCCTCATGCATGCTAGGCAAACACTTTATCACTGAGCTACATCCCCAGCCCATTTTTCAACTTTTTTCTAGACAAGATATAAAAGGGATTGGGATGCCCCAAATCTGAGAACTTAGGCCTTTATAGGCCAGCTGTTCCCAGAACTGCAGTGACTATTCTGTAGCAGGCAGTAGTTGGACTGCTATTGGCTAAGGAAGGAAGCAGGATGCCTAGGAGCACAGATGCTTTTTCTCTCTGCTGCTTAGATGAGACTATTAGGAGACTGGGGAAGTCAACCCCACTACGACCCTCCCTGCCAGCACTGCCTAAAATTCTACCACTCTAATGTGCAACTGACTCGACAGCTAATTGGTGAAGACCACATGTTCCCTGGGACTCCCAACTCTATGCATCAAATCCCCACAGGCAGAGACTCCAAGGAAAAGATATAACCTTTAAGATAAGACTTTCAGTTAACAAAATAACTTTTAAAATAGTGACAAAGGAACTAGATTTAGCAGTAAAAGTAAATTTTACTCAGTATCTGTTTCCTCTGGAAGAATTCAGTGATAGCAGAGTCTGGGGAAGCAGCAGAGTTCTGGAAGCTGCAGGAATAAAGAGGGCTGTTCTTGGACCCATAAAACCAGATGTCCTCAGGAGGGAAAGATACAGCCTCCCTCTGTGAGGTAGATTCTCTAGAATCCTCCTGCAGGAGTATCTTTTCCTAACCAGAAGCTGCAGGACCTGGTAGAGAGGTGAAGGGCACACCTGAAGCTTCATTTCCAGAAAAGTGTGAAAAAAAATGTGAAAGGCAGTCTCAGTGGTAGTTAGGCAGGAAGAGTGCATCTGCACCATGAAAATCGAAACCTGAATCACAAATCTCACCAAAAGGGTGCTGCAGTTTAATCAGACTGATTTCCTAGCATTTATCATTAGGAAAGAGAGTAAGTTTGGTACTGAGGGAAGAGAGAAGATGGAGTGCATTCTGGCCATAGGAGAAGAGACAGGTGGACTGTGTGTCAAGTCCCAATTGAGACCTTCTGAATGACCTAAAGAGCAACTGACAGCACAGAATGCTTGGTGGGAAGAGAGGAGGGCAAAGAAAGAGAAGAATGAATGCAGAGAGGCAAAGGGCAGGAAAGCTTAGAAAAAGAGGTGGGAAACAAGGGGAAGGGAGAGCAGAAATGGAGGCTTTAATATCTTGTTCCTGTTTGAATGCTAGCCATAAAAAAAAATATACTAATGCAGCCAGGTGCAGTGGCACATACCTATAATCCTAACTACTCAGGAGACTGAAGCAGGAGGATATCAAGTTTGAGGATAGCCTTGGCAACATTGCAAGATCCTGCCTCAAAAATAAAATTGAAAAAAAGGACTGGAGATATAGCTCAGTGCTAGAACATCCCTGAGTTCAACCCCAGTACTACAGAACAACAACAACGAAACTAATCTATTTATGTAATAGCAAAATGCAAGAAGAAAAGACCAAAAAAAAAAAAAAAAAGAAAGAAAGAAATGGTAGATGACTGTATTGGGACTTTTTGCCCAGGATTTCAGGCAATTTTGGATACCCTTAACACGATGCCAAAGACCATTCCTGATGCTCTCTCCCCTATCTGGGAGGAAGTCGTTTTTGTTGCAAAGTGAGGTGAATACGACACTGGGGGCCAACTAATAACCTGTTATAGAGTACTAGAAGTCAGCTGTGCCCACAGCACTTCCTACACACACTCAAGCATATCCACTTGCTCTGCCAGTTCCTGGGGTGTTACCTGTCTGGTCCTCCAGCAGGTAATACTGCTTCATGAGTTGCCAGTGTGCCTGCAAGGCCTTGGCAGTTCGGGCCAGGTAGAAGGCATCAGGGTGTCTGTGCAGTAAGTCCTGAAAGGTCTCCAAGGTGGGCTGGCTGGTCTGGAGGCAAGAAACATGCTTTACGAACCTGGGTTTCCTCACTCCTACCTCTGCCTTCCTGCCATTCCCCCTACCTCAGGAACCTCAGGAGCTAGAAGAAGCAACAGAGTCACTCAGGGAGCCAGATCTGGCTCCTTTTGAGGCCAGTCACAAAGGCCTCTGCACGTTTGCGTGTGCATATACGCAGTCAGTGGGTAGGGGCTGAGCATTCCAACTTGCACCCTTCCCTGATTCTCAACCTTCTGAGACTCCAGCCTTACCGATCCCACTTTGCTTAGCAGCTGCTCTTCAGCCTTGCTAAACAGGGCCTTGCTCTGGATGGCTGCAATGGCCTCTGGGTGCAGCTGCCTCATGGCCTGGCAGGCCAATCTGGACATGGGAAGAGACAGAGTGCAGAGCTGAAGGGAAAGTGTCAAGCAATCTGGAGTTTCTACTTCCCCCAAACCAGCAGGCCTTTATGATCCAGAATCTTGAGGACATGTCTTAGATAGGAAAAGTGCAAAGTTTAGCATAGCACCTGTGGTATTATGGATTTGCCAAATGAATGAACAGGCAAATCATGAAACTGAGGCTTCTATGTCCCCTGAAGCCCCAGTCCTGGGGCAGATCCTGATGCCTGCTGCTGCTCCTTCCCTAACCCTCTCTCCTCACTTGGATAAAGGTGCTACCCACTAGTCACTGCTACCACCTCTTTCCCAAGTTGAGGCCACCCATTCCTGGTGTTTCGGGGTTATGGCTACATCTTAACTGGGGCTATGCCAGGAGCTATGGAGGAGAAGAAAATGTGTGCTCAATATCCAACCAAGTTTTGAAGATCCTAAACTGAGTGAGGAAGAGGAAGAGTGTGGTGCGTGTATACATTAGTTAACACTGGCTATTAAAGCTAGAAGGGGCCTTGGTGTTCTTGTTCCAACTCTCTTTTTGTGAGCAAGAAATAGTGGGAAGTCTGTGTGGAAAGGTTGGGAAGTGACCTGCTCAAAGTCACAATACATACAGTGGTGGAACTGAGGATCCTGGCACTAACGTGGACATTTTCTCCTATGTCACTTCCTTTGCTTTCATATTTTCCTGCTTCTGGCATAAAGCCAGGACTAGCAGGTTAGGGGCAGGAAGAAGCTTCCCTGTGAAGCCGAGCAGGTTCCTGGATCATCTCAGAGGATGTAAGGCCCCTGGAGCCCTGCTTCCCAGGTCCCTCCCTTGGACCCTGGCACAAAATTTGGCTCTCTTGTATTGGGAGCCAAATTTTGGCATGTCCAGTACCTCTCCACTGCTGGAGCCAGTCCTACTCACTTGGAGATGACAGGATCATAGAGCAGGGCGTACCAGCGCTCCTGGACTTCCCGAAGAGTAAAACGGCAGCTGAACTTTACACCCAGGTGGACAGATGTCAGGTCATTGGTCTGCAAGGACTCAGAAGGGTTTGCTCCAGCCTCAGCACAGGGAAAAAACCCTTCTAGGGTCTTACTGAGCTAGTTTGGAGGCTAGGAACTAGAGCCTGGGGGAAATGGGGGACCCTAATCCTGTAATAGAAGCACTACCTGCAATACAGCATTGATGAGCAAGAGGTCATCCGCAGGCTTCCAGCGGCCCAGATCCTTGGTCACCTGAAGTGGCTGTTTGCTCTTTTTCACACGCTTGGTGAGTCCAGGGACTGGGGCAGGGCTGGGTGGTATAGGAGTACTGGGGACTTTGGACACCTAGGCACAGGACATAGAGAGCTCAAAGCTGGCATCAGGGCAGCTGGGGCTTCAGGCCTAGAGCTTCACGTACTGTGTGGCAGCCACAGTCTCAGTTGACAATAGGAAGCCAGGCAGAGAGCTCAACTTTCTAATACCCACCCCAACCCTTGCAAAATTAATTCCACATAATTCTTGACCATATGGGGTCTTTTCTTTGCTGGTGGTACCCCCAACCCCAGAATAGAGGGTGGGTGGGGAGGATACGAGGAAAATACTCTTGCTGGTACAGTGTCTGGGGACAAAGCAATTGCCACCTGGGGGTTATTTTTACACTCTGAAATGCTGGGAACAGGCTGTCTGCTCCCAGAATAGATGCATGCTCCATGCCTCCCACACGGAATGCGATACAGGATGCACTGGCAGAACGAGGGCGGGGGTACAGCAAGAAGGTGGAGTAGAGAGAAATGGGAGTGAAGGGATCTGGAGGGATCAGGGGTGGGGGTGGGGGCTGGGGCAGCTTGGTCCTCTCACAAGCTTCTTCTGCAGGGCTCTTGGCAGCTTGCAAAGGTTCTGGGGAAATACAAAATCTGGCACTGCCTATCCTGCTATTTCTTCCAGTCCCTCACCTTCTTCTTCTCACTGGAGGAGGGTTCACTCCCTGAACAGCGCCCTGGTTCTACTCCACTGGTCCCCTTCACCCGGGTAGAGGATTTTGCTAGGCTGCTTTCCACCAGCTCATCATCGAACTTCTTCCTCTTGATAAACCTGTGGAGGGTCCTACCCTGTAAGCCATCTTTACTTCTCCCAGGTACCCACTCGAACATACTCGCCTCCAGAACAGAACAGGCTCCCAGCAGGAGCTAACTGTTCCACTGCTTTCACTTTCCACCAGAGCCAGGCTCAGTGGACATAGAACTGTCACACTCCAACCCTGAGATACCAGGTGACTGCTCGTTGTACCCCCAGCCCCAGAATAGAGGGTGGGTGGGGAGGATATGAGGAAAACACTCTTGCTGGTACAGTTCTGGGGCCAGAGCACATGAAAGTTCATGTTAGAGACCCAAGATTTCCCTCCCCTGCCTGCAGTACCATGTGAAGGGACTGGTAGGAACAGGAGAAGCACAAGACTCTGCTTAGGCCCCAGAGGGGCTCAGGTAGCCATTCCCGATAGAGGCAAAGGCACACAGTATTTAATGCCACAAGCCTTCATCCCCTCTGGGTCCTCCAAATTCTGACTACCTGGAGGAGCTTCTCCGTTTAGGGATGGTGCCCAAGGCTTGGGAGGAGGCCCTCTTCTGCCCTGCCAGCGACTCCTCATCCTCTGAACGACTGGCGGTGCCTGATGCCATCAGGGATGAATCTAGTAGCCCCTGAGAATCTAGAAAAAGAGAAATGGTGAACTTGGGACTCTGAAGTGTCTAGTAGAGCCCTGAGCCTCTGCACCTGGGACCCCTCCTCAGCCCCCTTTCCCTGCCAGCCCTCTTGGCCTCTTCCCTTGACCCTTGAAGTTTTATGATGGGAGTTCCTCAGCCATCCAGATCTTGTCTGGACCCAGACCTGGGCCAGACCTTCCTCCATGGGCAGTTCTCCCACTGGTACATGTCATGTTGTGCAGTACACAGTGCTCAGGTCAGACTGGTGATCCCACATACTGGGCTCTTGACATAACTGATCCCTTTGCCATCAAAATGCAGCATGCCAAAGAGCAGCAGCTCAGTAGCAAGTCAGTCAACTGTGGCTCTGCTGAGAGGTACACGGGTATTGCTGGCCCAGGAGGAGGTGGCAATGCCCAGCCAGGACCAAAAGACATATGTGCCAGGCACAGGGTAGAATCAGAAGATGCTTGGCGCCCAAGCATTTGGGGAGCTGGCCCAGCCTCATACTACCTTTGTCCATCCTCTTACTGTCCCAAAGCCACTGGTTCCAAACCACAGGGCTAGGAGGAAGGGTCCCACAGCCTCATCCAAGGATTCTGACCAGGTGAACTTAGAGGCTGAGAGGAGATTCTGCAAAGGAGAAATGAGGCTCCCTGAAGCTCGGGTTTCCAACAGGCCAGCCTCACCTCCTTATACTGATTTAGGTCTCATAAACTTAGGAAAGATACAAGGAGTGGAAAGAGGTATAAAGCTCTACTCTAAATATTATGCTTATAAACCAGAAGCCTTGTGAAAGTGAGAAACCTTTGAGAATATGATAAAACCAAAGGACTCCAGAAAAACGTACAAATATACTATTTGGGGGTGCACAGGCCCCTCTAATTCTTTTCCTAAAGCCCTAGGTTAAGTACCTTGACTATAAACTACCAAGAAACAATGACTTCTTAGCTCTTTCTTTTCTTCAGCTGCCCCTGCAGCTCAGCAGCCACCATCTTTCTCTCAGGCAAAGTAGGGAAAAGGAAAGGGAGATTGAACTCCAGTCAGTCTACCCCCTCCCCCGCTCCCCATTCCACCCCCAACCCATTTATAGCTCTTGCTGAAGTGGAAGTTAAGCTAAAAAAGTGGTTTGGGAACTGTGTGACTACCAACCGCCCTGCTTCCCCACAAAAACTCAGGTGTTGGACAGTAATTCCTAGAGCGCTCTGCTTGCAGGTCCCGCCCCTTCTGACCAGAGTGCCTTAGCCCAGCAGGTGTGCTCGCCGCTCTAGAGGATACAGCGGAGAATCTTGACATCTGGGGAGAGGGCTAAGGGGCGGGATCCCATAGGCAGACTGAAGAGGAGTCTGAGCCATCCTTCAAAGGCCTCCACCCCTGCCTCTCTCACCAGAGCATACCCAAGGTGGGTGATCGGTCCAAGTCTGTTTTAGGGGTTTGGGGTAAAAGTGGTGAAGTCAGGGCTGGGGTTGTGGCTCAGAGGTAGAGTGCTCGACTGGCATGTGTGAGGCGCTGGGTCTGATCCTCAGCACCACGTTAAAAATAAGTAAACAAAAATAAAGGTATTGTGTTCATCTACAACTAAAAAATATACTTCTTAAGGAAAAAATGAAGGCAGCTCTGCAACTCAGTACAGCACCAAGTGAACCCTGAGCTTCTGCAATCTGTTAGAAGCCCCACAGACTCTTAGTAAGGAATTGAGGGTCAACTCCCAACTCAATCCCCACCCAACCTTCAGCATGCCGCCTTTGCGCATGCGTAACACTTCAGGCCAGGTTACAGCCCCATGTACGACCTACGCATGCGCAGATTTTCGGGGCGCTGCCGGGGCGGGGCCCCAAGCCTTGTGGGGGGTTGTTCCCCGAGGCACTCTGGGAAACTCCATTTCACCCCCAACTCTACTCAGAACCCTCAGAGGCGAACCGGGAGGTCTCACCATTCCTAGGCTGCCAGTTCCAACAATTTCTCTGCGGCGACAGCAGCAGCCGCAGGGCCAAAGTCGGCTTCCGTGAGGTACGTCTACTTCCGGGTTACAAACGAGAGACTGCGCGATCTTTTCCGGTTCGTTCTGGAAACGTGAGTGAAGGGGGGTGTGGCCTAGGCCACGAACGTGTGACCCTTTTGAGAAGAATCGAAAGTCAAAATTTTCCAAGTTGAGACAGTATACAGGGAAACTTCGGGGATTGTAGGTACCAGAGAAGTTACCTGGCTCGAGGGAAAGACGAGGCTTGGGGTGAGACAAAGCGGAATTAAAGTTAGGAGGGTCCGAGGATTGATGGGACCACGGATTGGATTTCAGCTTCGGAATTCGTACTAGGTATGGGAGAGGAGACTTAGGGGTTTTCCGAGACCAAATATGCATTGTTTGATTTCATCAGTGATTTTAGAGAAACTACTTTCTCAGGCCCCATGGTAGACATAAGACAGGGAAAAGATACTGAGGAGATCGCTCTGTCCGTGGAGATGTAACGTATAGTAGGAACAGGGAGATTCGTGGTCCGCATTCCCTTTCCTTGGGAAAAGGAGAGTACCCAGTTGGTCCCATCAACCTGACCCCACCTGGGCTGCTGGAGACAGTTGTGGGCACCGGGAAAGATTGAAGCACCTTCATAGAGTGCCCTAGGGGCAATCTTGGGGATGGGAAAACAAAGGAAATGTTGGGAGTCCTGGACTGAGAGGTGCCTGCAAAAGCTAGAAAGGCGAGTTTACTCTAGAGTTATATTTGTTTTATACTTCCTTTGAGGACTACTTTAAGATGCAGCTTGGCCAGGGGTTTTAGCTCAGCGGTAGAATGCTTGTCTAATATTCGTGAGGCCATCGGTTTGATCTCCCCCACCACAAAATAAAACCAGGACATTGCCAGAAGATTTGTGTCAAAGTGAGACTGACCCTTTTGGACCCTGACAAGTGTATGATAGCTCTCTACTTCAAGACCCTTCACCTCATTTACTGAGAACTTGTTAGATGAGTATGTACCTGAAGTTTTTTGTTTTTAATAATTTTTTTTAAAATATTTTTTAGGGGCTGGGGTGAGGCTCAGCGGTAGAGCACCTGCTTAGCGGTAGAGCGCCTGCTTAGCGCATGTGAGGCCCTGGGTTCGATCCTCGGCACCACGTAAAAACAAATAAATAAAGGTATTGTGTCCAACTACAACTAAAATATTAAAAAAATATTTTTTAGATATTGATGGACCTTTATTTTATTCATTTATTTATATGCAGTGCTGAGAAATGAACCCAGTGCCTCATGCATGCTAGGCAAGTGCTCTACCACTGAGCCCCAACCCTTGCCCCTGCATTTGGTTGTTTGTTTTTGTTTTTTATTTTGTGGAGCTAGGGATCAAAACCTAGAGTGTCATGTAGGTAGGCAAGCCTGTATCACTGTACATGTTTTATCTCCCATAAAAGATTGAGTTTCCTGGTACATAGTATGGCGGACTATAGTGGATATAATATAGTTTAGTATCTATACCACATGATAGTTAATAGGATGGTCTTCCTAAAAAGGTGACAGTTGATCTAGGTATGAAGGTGCTTGCCTTGCTATTCAGAACGGAGGTAGAAGGGAGGCTGAGGCAGGAGGATCACAAGTTCATGGTCAACCCCAGCAACTTGGTGAGACCTTGGCTCAAAAATGAAATGAAAAAAAGGAATGTAGCTCAGTAGGGGAGCCACTTGCCTAGCATGCAAGAGGCCTTTAATATAATCCCCAATACAACCCCCCCCACAAAAGTGACAATTGAGCTGAGATTTGGTGGTTAATAAGAGATCAGTCATGCAAAGAGCTAGGAGACAAAGCAGCTAGAGGGGACAGCATGGCTTTGAAACAGAAAAGAGTTTGGTAAATTTGAGAAGTGAAAAGGAGCCTAAAGGAATAGAGTGATCAAGAAAAGAAAGGGGGGGACTGGGGTTGTGGCTCAGTGGTAGAGCGCTCGCCCAGTACGTGCGAGGCCCTGGGTTCGATCCCCAGTACTACATAAAAATAAAATAAATAAAATAAAGATATTGTGTCCAACTACAACTAAATATAAATAAATAAAAATTAAAAAAAAAGAAAGGGAAGAGCTGGCATAGTGGTGCACATGCCTATGATCCTAGCGGCTTGGGAGGCTGAGGCAGGACGATCACACGTTGGAAGCCAGCCTCAGCAATTTATCAAAGCTGTAAGCAACTTAGTGAAAACCTCCTGTCTCAAAATAAGAAGGGCTGGGGATGTGGCTCAGTGGCTAAGCACCCTGGGTTCAGTCCCTGGTATTAAAAAAAAAAAAAAAAAGAAGGAAGGAGATGAGAATGAGAAGTCTCCAGGCAGATCACATCAGCCCAGTAGTTTACAGTATAGATTTTGTCTTTTATTCTTAGTGCTGTGTAAAGCTCTTAAAGATTATAAACAAGAGCACCCTATGATATAATATAATTTTTAAAGTGTTATGGCTGCTTCTGAAGAATGACTTGTAGGGGGGCAAAAGTGGAAGCAAAGAGAGAGGTAGAGGCTATTGCAGAAGCCCAGGTGAGTGGTGTTTTAGTTGGGTTGTGGAGATGGTGAACATGAACAGAAACAGTGACATCAACATATATTTTAGACATAGAATCATAAGGACTTGCTAATGAGTTGGATTTGGATATGAAGGAAAGGAAGAATCAAGGGTAAGACTTAGTTTTGGCCTAAAAAATTGGGTGGATGATAAAGATCCATTCCAGATTATATCTAGAATCTGACCCTGTTTTACTAGGTTTTCCACCATTTCCCAGCCAAAGTTTCCATCCACATTATCTCTGATCTGGACTATTGCAAAAGCTCCCCAAATGGTCTCAGTTTTCATCCATACTGTGCCTCATTTAATCTATTTACAGAGACAAGAGTATTCCTATTAAAATAGAAATCTACTTATGTCCTGCATGTGTTGAAAATCCTCCCTCTTCCTCAGAATAAAAGTTCATGGCCTAGCCCCTATTATTTCTTTAACCCCATCTGCTCCTCTACTTTGCCATTTTAAAAATTCTAGTCCCTATTTCCTATACTTCCTGTTTTTTTCTCAGCTTTCTTTTTCTCTCTAATCCTTACTATCTTCTAATGTATGATGTAATTTACTTATTTTTTCTGTTTATCGTATGTCTCCCTGCAGTAGAATCTCTGAGGGCAATAGTTTTTGTCTTATTTGGTTCATTGCCAAACAAACATTGAATAAATGTCTTAAATAAATTTACTGCAAAGGAGAAGTTTGTGGGAGGAGCATGATTGTATAGGGCAGAAAAAGTTCTGTTAGTCATGGTAAGTTGGAGGTGCCTGTAAGGTATCTTATGGAGGTATTGAATCAGAGAGGGAGACACACTAGTTAGGTAAGGGAAGAGATCTAGGCTGGAGATACATTAGGAAGTCATTATCAGAGATGAGGATGTGGCACATTTAAGGTACAGTTGAGGAGGAGAAGCCAGCAAAGAAGCAGAAGAGAGGATGAAAAGAAAAGCTAGTGATGGCAGCTATCACCCAGCCTCACAATTGACCCTCCCTAGTAGTTTTTCATTGTCTAGCACTCTTTCCCTGTTATGGATGTGGCTTACACTGGAGGTCAATTCATGGTTCCTCATGAACTTTTGCTAAGAACTCTAGGCTCCTTCTCCTTGGTGATTAGAACAGAGTGGTTAAGAATGCAGGCTCTGGAGTGAAGTACCTAGTTTCAGACCTCTATTGCCTATTAGTTTGTGACCATGAGCAAGATACAGTTATATGCCTCAGTTTCATCATCTGTGGGGGAAAAATAATTCCCACTTCATAGGATGATTCTGAGGAGTAAATCACTACTTAAATCAGTTAGTAGCATATGGCAAGTTTTTAACATATGTTAGTTGTTGTACTGTTCTAATGGCTTGGGATTCAGCATCTCCTGCCAGGTGAACTGAATCTGTGACTCAGACTTTGATAGCACAGTCCCTCTTCATTCCTGTCCACCAAAGTAGCATCAGTTAACCTTTCACCTAAGACTGTTACCTCATTGGATCCAGTCACAAGATACAGGATCTTTATGCTGTGTGCTCATGTACTTCACCTTCTTAAAAAGTTAAATTTAATAAAGCTGATAACCAATATAAAGTTACCTTTGGATTCATAATGTATTTTAAGTCTCTCTCTCTCTCTCTCTCTCTCTCTCTCTCTCTCTCTCTATATATATATATATATATATATATATATATATATATATTACTTGATGTCTGTGTGCTGTTTTTTTTTTCCTCCAAATGAAGAGAAATGATTTGCAAAGGAAGACTGGAATACTCAGATTGAACCCTCTGAAATATCAATTCCAAGTTAGAGAGTCACAGACAAAACTCTGAAACTTTCAACCTCTTTTAAAATTTTTAAAAAATTGTTGATGGACTTTTATTTTAATTATTTATATGTGGTGCTGAGAATTGAACCCAGTGCCTCACACATGCTAGGCTCTACCACTGAGCTAAAATCCTAGCCCCCATTCAACCTCTTTAACATTACAAAACTTACCCATCTTAGTCCAAAGTTCAGAATCATACTTATTATAAACTTATATTATTCCCATTAAAATTAGGTGCGTGACAAGGTTGGCCCCCAGCTCTTTTTATTTAACATGGCTTTGGGAATACTTTCCTACATAATTATAGAAGAGAGGGGCTGGGGATGTGGCTCAAGTGGTAGCGTGCTCACCTCACATACGTGAGGCACTGTTTTTGATCCTCAGCACCACATAAAAAAATAAATAAGTGAAATAAAGGCATGCTGTCCATCTACAACTAAAAAATAAAAAATAAATATTTTAAAAAATTATAGAAGAGAAAGGAATGAAATATAAAAGCATAAGAATTAAAATGTTTATGATGATAGCCTACCTGGAAAACCCAAGAACATCACCCAGAAAACTTATTCGAATAAGATAATTTAGCAAACTAGGCATAGTTGTAATCCCAGCAACTTGGAAGACTGAGGCAGGAGGATTGCATGTTCAAAGCTAGCCTCAGCAATTTAGCATGATACTGTCTTAAACAAATAAAGGGCTTGGGATGTGGCTCAGTGGTTAAGTGCCCCTGGGTTCAATCCATGGTACCCTTCCCC